TTTATTTAAGGTTTATTATTTTCTTTATAAAAGTGTAGCTCGTGATCTAATAAAAACCATATAAGTCAAAATTTCAAACTTGGTAAAAAAATTTGCGAAACTCGACAAAGTTTAATCAACATTTTGAGTATGCACTTTTGTAGCGCATTCAATTTTAGTATGATTTTTGGTAATTTTTTTTTTGTGAAAGGTGTTGCTCATTCATACAAAAAAATGTTGCATGGAAGAAAAGGCGCGAATAAAAAATTGCCAAAAAACAACGGTAAGTTCCAGCAACTTCAAACTTGCACTTTGTTATAGTAAAATTTAACGAACTACAAAACCGAATGCACAAAAATTCTAAAAAATCTGATTAAAAAATTTAAAATTTGTATGAACATTTCGAGCGCTAACCGCCAAAAAGACGTAAGCGATTTTTTCTTTAATTTTAATTTGTTATTGCTTTTTTGATGCAGCAGAAATGTTCCTAGAGCATCTACATAGATTCATTTTTGCATCAAAAATAAAATTTTAAAAATAATGTCTTATGTAACATCTTTTTTGCGGTTAGGGCTCGATTTGTTAAAATTCATCGAATTTCTCTAAATGCTCTAATATTTGTTTCAGATAGTAACCTATATTTTCATAAAAACTAATAAACATTTTTTAAACAAACAAAAAAAAGGCGAAAACTTGCTAAATGTCCCTTCCCTATTCACATTTTCGCCACCGTACATTGTATGCATGCACGTAGATATATAGACAGACATACAAATAAATTCATATTTTCTTGACTGTCACACTTAAGTTTAGATATTTAGTTTTATTCTCATTCGTGTTATTGTTTTTATTGTATTTTTATACTACAAATTTTACTTTCCTTTCACTTTGATGATTCAAGTGCGTGGCCGATCGCATACTCATAAAATACTATACTCGTACATTTTCATATTCATTTTGATGTCTTGGAAATTTATCACCGCCGCTGCTGTCATTGGACATGTCATAATCTATCTCACCCAGTCAGTTGGCAATGAAATTTAGTATTTTAAAAAAAATATACGATACAGTGATGCCAGATTGTGGGTAATTTCCCTATTTGAGGGATATTTTGCATCAAAAATAATTAAAAAGGGAAAAAGGGACATTTCATATAAATAAGGGATTTTCTTTTAACGCAGTTATTGTTGCATAATTGATCAAAATTCAAGAATATTCGACATTCTTACGTAATTAATCGTTCTGAAGATGTGATGTGGAGTGAAATGGTATATAATTGTTAAAAAGTATAAGGACAATTTCGAAAATTTTCTTACGTTAACCAATTCAAGCGCTGAGTAAGAAAGAATCTTTTCAGTTGTAACTGGTGTTTCATGTAAAAAGCGGAACAAATTATCTGATGAAATGTTAAATAGCACATGAATGTGCTTCAATTTTAAAGTCACCAAATAATTTGTTTAGGCCTTTAGTGAGTGAGCAAAAACATGAAAGTGAAAAAATGAATGAGTGAAAAAAATGCAGAAAAAGAGGTTTTTTCTTAACAGCGGTCGGCCCTCGGCAGGCAATGGCAAACCTCCGAGTGTATTCCTACCATGAAAAACTGCTTCTCATAAAAATATTTACACTCGCCATTCGGAGTCGGCGTAAAACTGTAGGTCCCTCCCCTTTGTGTGACAACATCAAGGGGACCGCCACAAATTGGAGGAAAAGCACATATGTGTAAGCGCCAAACTATTATTATTATTTTATATGAATTTTACTTCTTTACTACTGAAACATGTAGATGTTTAAACTCGTTGGGAATTTTGTGGGATAAATTTTCAAGATGTGGGTAATTGAGGGATTTTTTCCCCATTTTCGTGGGATTTTTAACAGAGAATGTCTGGCATCACTGATACGATACTAAAACAAAATCTGTCAACAGTAAAAGTGTGAAAACTTGCTAGTTTCGGGGAATTCGTTCTTAGTCATTTTAGTCATTGGCATTAGTTATAGTATAGTTGTTGATGCTTGAAAGCTTTTATTGCTGAGGAGGGCATCAATTTGGCTATTATTTATGTAGTTTATGTGGGGAAGGTGTTGTTTTAATGTATTTTTCTTTAATTAAAAGTACTTACATACATACATTTAAATAAGTAACACACCAGTGAACGCAGTTAAGCATATCCATTTAGATGCTGTCATATTTTTGTATGTACATGTATGTAGTTAAGCGATTACCTTGCTGTAGATACTATAATCGTATGTATTTACTTTAATGTTACTCATACGCATAGTCGTGCAGTTTCTTCAAGGAAAATTATTGAAAAGATGCTGTCATTTTATCGAAGTTTTTGTAATCTGAGTAAGTTTTATGCACGAATCATGACCCATAAAAGAGCGACAGTAAAGGTCGTTACTGCTTCTGAGATCATTTAAAGTATTTTTTTTTTTAACTAGCCTCCAAATCGAAGAGTCCAACTATTCGATTATCAAATTCGGCCAGTGTTTTTCAGGCGGAGGGTGAAAAAGTGTGCAAAATAACTTTAGCCTCGAAGCTAGCAGCCACCAGCAGTGCTTTTTTCTCTTATAGCCAGGCGGTGATTAAGGCAGGCTCTGCAGAGAATACTTTATGGCTGTAGCTGATGGCCATGTCGTTGCACTGATCTGGGTATACAGCAACATTCATGGCAAATGCCGACGAGCTAACCAGGAACGGGTCGGCTCCGGATGTATCAGTGGCAGTGGATGTTCTTGTGCCTCTAAGCTATTTCAATAGCCGCATCTCTCAGCACTGGAAAAAGGCGGCTCATCGTAGGTGGAAAGAACTAAAATTTCTCATCAAACTGAACATGACGCATTTATCTCGAATAACTGCCGTTTACACAGGGCACTGAGCCCTGCAAAATCCATGCAGCAAGGCCAGGACGAAACGAAAGCACAACACTTCTTGTCGAGTTGTTAAACTCGCCACTTCGACCAACCAGCCCACGCACTTGTATGCTTTCCCATTGCATTGAACAGTCCTTCTGGTAGAAGGGCGGGCTACCTGTTTGGTACCTGCATTGATACGCGGGAGCTTATGCCTGAGGCAATCGCATAGGACCTAAATAAACTGTATGTCGTGGTGCTGTCACGTGGCTGCTATGTTGGATGGCGTAACACCAACTGCCGTTCCCCTCACCAAGCAAAAATATGAAATCCCAATGTTTCAACTATTCTCAGTGGTCGGCTTTTCACTCTAGCATTGGTGAAGTACCTCAACTTAACCCTTGACAGTTAGTTTTCCTGGAAGCAAAATAGGAGGAAAAGGTAAAGAAGCCATCGGTAGTCGTATATTTTAAGGTCATCATTGTTAAGCAGCTGGAGAGAGTAAACGGATCGGCCTTGATTAATATCATTCAGATACCACGGACCACCCCTACTCGCAAAGCTGTGACGTGAGCTTCAAGTTTCAACTATGGGCCACTCCGAAATTCTAGGAAGCTGTGACTGGATTCGAACTCAAACTGATCACTGCTCACCAATGTTTATTCCAAAAGGGCCATTTGAGGAACTCTCCATCGACTTTAAATTTAGGCTGGAGTGTTTTCCAAAGGGCGGTGGTAGCGAAAAACCGATGCAATCCGGATAGTAAGGCGGCAGTAAGGTTCTGTGGCTTTTTGTTGATTCGATCAAAAACGATCAGGAAATGTCTGACTTCTATCTCCCGATCGCTCCAGATATCTTTGCTATCAAGCTTATTTGGGTTGCAGGTGAGATCACTCATTTGATTCTATTAGAATGGAGTCATTGTTTTTTTTTTTTAAGTGAAAGCAATATGGCAGTCATGTCCTTTCTTATATCCTTATTTGACTGTATGTACAATTATTTGCCGATTCCGCTAAGAAAAATTTAAAAGCTCTTTTAACTTCTGCAGTTAAACCTCGTTTTGTACAATGGTGGAGGATATTTTTTAATTTACCATTAAAAAAGCAAGCTTTCTATATATTTCTTAGGCACGAAAGCAGTGTAAAAGCTTTATCCGCGCGGCTCTGGCATATACAGTGCAATAAATACTTTTCGAATGCAATATTTTGTTGTTTTATCTTATTTTTAAGGCTGCGACACTCCATGTATTCGGCTATTCGTGAGTGTTTACGGATAAATCCGAATATCTGGATATCCGAGTAATATCCGTTCTATTTTGTTGTCCGGATATTCGGTACATAACCGGTACATAACCGAATAATAACTGTTAGTTTTTCTATGCACATATCCGGTTAATATCCGTTCATTTTGTTATCCGAATATTCGGCTTTTTAAATCAGACATTCAATTATTGGAATATCTGGATTATCCGAATATTTAAAAGATCCGGGTAAAACTCCCAGCTCCACTTATTTTCATTTCTAAAATAGAAACAAACTTCTTTAAAAATTAAAACTTTCGTAATCTTTAATCAAATTATCCAGAATTTAATGTTGTAGCATTGCTTTAACAATAAAATGTTAAATTTTATTAAGAATTCCAGAATTGAGTACAACATCCAGTGAAATTTTTTTTTATAAATTGATATTTTTCGGTCTTTTTAATTATTGTTAAAAATATTCGGACACAGAATATTTGAGTGATTATGTTCAGTTATATTAATTAAAGTAAGTTTATAGTACGCCGGTAGTGCGAGAATTTACGATTAATTTTCATTCTAAAAATAAAAATTCCATAACTTTTCTTGAATTGCTGACTCAAAATAAAAATAAAATTTGTGATATGTTGAAAATCCATATAAGACAAGCCGAGAAATTTCCGGGAAAAAACAATTCCGTCAATTCAAAACATTTTTGACTAAAATGAAAAAAGATTAATTTGAGGCAAAACTTTAACGTTTGGCCAAATACAATCTGAAGTTTTTAATCCCGATTTCGGAGAGTTCTAAGTGGAGATTAAAAAAAATATAAAAAAAATATAAAAAATACAAAAAAATTATAGACCTCAAAAATTAAATTTTTGGTGTTCTTTTTCTGATTTTTATAAGACCAAAAAATTAAAATAAAACTCACTTGTAATAACTCTTTTCTCGCGCGAAATCCACTAGTACTCCATTAGAGTAACTTAAAATCGACTGGCAGTGCTTCTTGCACACTAATTTCGCTTATGAAATTCAAATTTCAAAACGAAAAAATATATCACAAGTCTCACACTTGTATAATCCAACTGCAAGGATCCTGCACTCGCACTCACACAGCTATACACACTTCACTGGGTGCTTTGCAATTAAAAAGTCACCTTTTTTTATTTTTATATGCACACAAACACAATCACAACACCAAAGTGGGGTGGTTGTGTTCTAGCGCGCTTTTAGATTCGAAAACTTTTCGATTTGAACGCGACGAACGCGAGTATTCAACTGATTTCAAAATCTCCGCCACAACGAAACTTAAATGAAAATGATCACCAGATTCGCCAGCGCTAGCCGATACGCAATCTGATGGCGATTGAGGGAGTGAGTGTGTGTATGTGATGTGGGAGTGCGTGTATTAGTTTAGCTGATCGTTCGCTCGCTGGCTGAGAACTCAACGAAGCCAAAAGTAATTCTTGTCTGTTATAGACAGCTAGAATTAAAAAAACCAAAAAAAAACACAATAAAAAATAATAAGAAAAGAAGAAATGAGCTGAGACAAATCTTGGCCAGCAGCCGCATCGATGACGTAGCCAGCCGGTGATCGTCGTGCAGTGCACGAGACAAGTCGTCAGATGAGGCGTATGAATTTTGATGAGCGTTTTATTAAGTCACCGGAGGCGGACAGCAAGCAACTTTGCTAGACTGCAAGTGGTGTGTGCGTTTTATGTGTGTGTGTGTGTTTATTTTGAGCTTTCCAATGACAATTGCCGATGTTTTTTTTTTATAAATTTACATTTCGATTTTCTTGGAATCGTGAAAGCGTGAATTCTATATTTTGGGAATGATCTAGTTAATCATCAATCAGGCTGCAGCTTATCAGCGCTGCTATTTGCGCTTATCAACGGCACTTATCGGTGCTTAAATTCAAAATTGTTTACGCCGTATGCTTAAAAAATTAAAAAAAAATTGAAATTAATTTTAATACTTGGGAAATTTTTAACGTAAATAAACACTTTTACGCAAAAGATTTTTTATTTTGCGCAAATAAGTCATTTTTGAAAAGACATACATGTATATACATATTTGTAGATACATATGCACATATTAATTACATTTTTTGGCATTTCACAAAAAACCTAGCATTTTGTTTTGCAAAGCCAATTATTATTAACACTCGATAAGCGATTGGCAATAATTTTAGCTTCCGTTCTGACAAAAAATATGTGAATCACTTTAAGCAAGTTTTGAATGAAATTTTTATGTTTACCTTAAACCGGTATATTAATTTGTTGACATTCAATATGCAAATAATTGTTCAAGCCATTCATTGTTTTTCTTTATCATTTTTGTTTTCAAGTGAGTTTGCCCTTGAATTTCGGTTTTTTTTTTCTTTTTTTGGTATTCTAAAGCAGAAATTCCTTGGTTTTTTCATAGTAAAAAATCTCGAGGACACAGGAAAGTATCCGGTTGATTATTGGCATTCCCGACCACAAACAATGGTATTAAAATAATAATTAGTGTTTAATTTTACGCAAGTTTTCTGAAACGAAAAAAAAAATCTTGCGGTTGAATTTTTTTTTTTTTTTTATGTAACGAATCATACATATTTGTATGCATGTTTGTTTGCTCGTGGAAAGATAAAAGCTAGTTTTACACATATGTATAACGGATGCTCTTAGCTTATGCTGTTCGCCTTTTAGCAAACAGTTTCTAATTTGTAAATTTTTATTGTTGCGTATTAAGATTTATTTCAATATTATTATTGAGCTGTGTACCGAGATTTGTTGTTTTTTTCCATTTTTCCTAACAAAACAAATCGTGGTACAAGCTCAATAATACTATCGGAATAAGTTTTTTCTTATTTAATTAAATAAAAAAAATTTTATTGAATTAGATTTAAAAAAATTAATTTTTTGGACAACAAAACCTAATGCATGAAAAAAAAAATTTATTTAAAAGGAAAATAAAATTAAATAATAGCTTTGATTTTTCGAAAGTCAACTTTAAAAAACTGAATAAAGAATTGTCTAAATTGTCGTGGCCTATATACAAAGAAAAAGTTGAGCAAATGTGCTTCTCGCGAAGAGCTGTTCTGCCAGTTTCTTATATAATAGGTAACCATAACCTGGAACAGGTTTACAATTTTGTGGACCTTGGTATCACAATGGATCCTAAGCTTAATTTTAATCTTCACATTAATGTGACAGTCAACAACACTAAAGGTGTACTTGCATTTGTGAAACGATGGTCAAAAGAATTTAGTGACCCTTATATCACTAAAACCCTGTTTACAACATTAGTTAGGCCGATTCTGGAATACGGCTCGGTGGTTTGGAATCCAAGGTATCAAATTTACTCAGACAAGATAGAATCAATTCAAAAACAATTCCTACTTTTTGCTTTAAGAAATTTCCGATGGGATTCTCAATATAGTCTTCCACCTTATACGAGTCGCTTAAAACTTATTAACCTTCCTACACTTGCCAGTCGCAGGGAAATGCTTGGTATAATTTTTATGGTTAAATTACTGACAGGCTCAATTTCAAGTCCGTCTCTTCTGGCTGATGTAAGCTTTAATGTTCCCTCACGCGTATCAAGACACTTTTGTCCCATATTTCTGAAAGCTTGTAAAACCAATTTTGAATTGCACGACCCACTCCGTTGCTTATGCCAGGATTTTAACTCTCATTCCAGCACGTTTGATATATCAGATCCGCTTTTCAGCATTAAGAAAGCGATACTCTCCTCTCTCAATAAGTGAATTATTGACATAAATACATAAAATCAGCTGATGAATTTAGTTCTGTAGCTGAACAGTTTTAGATCTCGACACTTAACAAACTCCTGCCTATCGTGACTCGGCACAAAAATTTAAAATATTGGTTCCGTACGTCATGCGGACTGCGCCCCTCGTGCGGATGGGCGGGAATGGAGGGTAAAAACCGTTGGGATTATTATTATTATTATTAAAGCAAAAATAATTAAAAATATATTTAGAAATCAAATAAAGTTGAAAATAAAATTGTTTTCTTTTTGAAACAATAAAATCTAAGAAATAAAAAAATTTAATAAAAAAAAAACAAGAAAATAGTTCTTAAAAATTAAATTAAATCAAAAAAGTATATTATTATTAAAAAAATCTAAAAATTAAAAGAAAATTAAATTTAAAAAAATATTTAATTAGAAAAGTAAAATAAGTTTTTAAAAATTAAATGAAATAAAACAAATATATTTTTCTTTTTAGAACAATAAAATATAACAAAATTAAAAGAAAATTAAAAAAAAATAAAGTGCAAATTGAAAAACAAGAAAAAACAATTCCGCTGCCTTAGGACTCGAATGTCTCAAATGACACGCCCGTGCTTTGCTCACTTAGCCATTGCGACTTGTGGAGCGACGCACATTGTAAAGTCCCCATATAGTGGATGGCCAAAAGTAGAAGGAGTTGTCGCAGATCAACGAAATTTCGCACAGAGGGTTTGTGAGCATATCTCAAGAAAAATTTAAAATTTGAGCGAAATCGGTTGAAGAACACGCCTACCTCCCATTGAACTGGAAACTAAAAACATCGGGTTTATATACTAAATTTAGTCCGATTGAAACTAAGTTTTATATTTGTGCAAGATTTTTTAAGTTGGTCCACTACCACACCCACTTACCTTATAACTACGGTGACCATATTTATGGGAGCCGAATACGGGACAAAAAATAATTTTGAACATTTTTTCCACAAAAACTTATTGATCTTAAAGCCTTCTTCAATAATCCTAGATGTATTAGCCTTGAAATAGCATCCTTGTAGTAACATCACAAATTTGTAGGAAATTTTCCCCGAGATTTTTACCCACAAAATTAAAAAGAAACCTTAAATTTAAGTACAATAAAGTGCGATTTTGAAGTCGCTAAGACTTACCGTTAATTTTTGACCATATTTTTTTTTTGTTATTGACGATGTTGAGCATCTTTTTCATACAAAGTAGGTAAGTATGGCTGACTTCCAAAACGTCAATTGCTTTGCATACGTACAAAGTATAACATAACGTCGAACTACAAAATATTGACAATGACATAAGAAAGTTTTATTACATGGCAATTGAGAAGTGCATTCATTAATTTAATGAAGGAAATTTTTGGACATGCAGCAGCACATAGCACGAATTTAGGCGCCTGGTGTTAGCAGTCGCACTTAAACAGTATTATATGGGTTTTTTAGGAAAAGAGCTTTCTTTACTTTCACAAAGAATAATAAACGTTAAATAGACTAAGGAAAAATAGCCAAACTTTGCTGAAATGTCGAGTCCTAGCTTCTATTTTGGCCACTGTATGTATTCCTCGAATCGAAACACAGGCATTCAGATCACTTAAAACTCGTTCATAGGCTGGCCTTTTTAATGAGATGTTAAGGCATCGAAACACCGAATACGGGACAAATACAGGACATTAAAAGAAATACAGAACATTTGGCGTCCCGTATAAAATAAATAAATTGCCAGGACAACGGGTCCAAAAAGAGGACTGTCCCGTATAATACAGGACGGATGGTCACCGTAATTATATCGTATCTAAGAATAGTAGTTTCCAAGGAATTTCGATAACTGAACATGGGTTCCTACTTGCGCTCTTTGTTCACAAAAAAAATTAGAAACCCTTAGTAGAAAGCGTAGCAAATTTGTTAAGAACTCCGCATTGCCGAAAGGAAATTTGACACAAGAAAACAGCTTCGCCATTTCGTCGGCGTTTTTTTTTTTATACAGAGTTTTGCTTTTCTTGAGAGCTGGATACTAAGCTTAAGTATGGAAATTTTGTATTGTAAATGGAGCTCAATTAGCGTCTCAATCGAAAAAGCTTGACTAATTGCTCGACTAACAGCCTGTCTCAACTTGGCATTAGCTTTTGCGAAGGATAGCAACCAACTCTACTTAAAAAGTCAAAAGATAACAGATTTATTAAACTGACATTTTTTCCTGATACTTACGTATGTAAAACAATCTGATATCAGAAAGTCTAATCAATCATAGTAATTCGGTAAAAGCAGTAAAAACGTTTATTTTCTCTATTTAGTTTTAATTTTAGTGTTTTACATTTTGCGAAAATGCATTAAAGCTGCAGTAAAAGTGGTTTGTGACATGAAAAATTGCCGCACATAAAATACACTTTCATTAAACATTATGTATGTGTATGTATGTACATTAGACTGCATCACCGAAAAAAGTTGCGGTTTTCCGCCGGGATTACAAAATCCATTATATTTTAAGACGGCCACCAAAGTATTTCGGAAAAGTATTAAGACTTAAT